GATGGTATTGTTTCGCTAGTTGCTCATTGCTGTGACTTAAGGACTATCGACGTGACATGCTGCCATCTTCTTACAAATGATGCCCTTGCTGCAATTGCCGAGAACTGTAGAAAGATTGAATGCCTTCGACTGGAATCCTGCCCTTTTATAAGTGAGAAGGGACTAGAGCCAATCGCAACCCTCTGTTCCCACCTTAAGGAGATTGACCTCACTGACTGTCGTATTAATGATGCAGGTAACTGAAAAGTAGCTGTGCCATATTTTTTTATAGGAAAAGTTCATTCCTAAATTTGAGCTCATCATTTGAAATCCCACATTTTCAGCTTTGCAGCACTTGGCAAGTTGCTCGGAACTGCTGATCTTGAAGCTTGGCCTCTGCTCTAGCATTTCTGATGAAGGCCTTGTTTATATTAGTTCAAACTGTGGAAAGCTTGTGGAACTTGATCTATACCGGTAATCAATATTTATATTTATGCTTTAGAAATTATTTATTGATTAATCATTGGTCTCTAAACTAAAGCACACTTGTTTATCTTTCCCACAGTTGTAGTGCTATTACTGATGATGGGCTGGCAGCTGTAGCTAGTGGCTGCAAGAAGATCAGGATGCTAAACTTATGCTATTGCACCCAAATCACCGATGCTGGTTTGAAGCATGTAAGCGCTCTGGAAGAACTCACAAACCTGGAATTGAGATGCCTCGTGCGCATCACGGGCATTGGGATCACCTCCATCGCCATTGGTTGCACTAGCCTGATAGAACTGGACCTTAAACGCTGTTATTCTGTGGATGATGCTGGCCTGTGGGCTCTTTCAAGATACTCCCAGAACCTTAGACAAGTAAAGAACTCAACGACTTCATCTTCTCCTTTTGTAATTTGTGAAGCATCAGGGACATTACAGGTTGCTGTCCGGTTTGTTTGCAGCTTACTATCTCCTACTGTCAAGTCACTGGCCTGGGCCTGTGCCATCTGCTGGGCTCACTGAGGTGCCTCCAGGACGTGAAGATGGTTCACCTCTCCTGGGTCTCCATTGAAGGGTTTGAGATGGCGCTGCGAGCGGCGTGTGAGAGGCTGAAGAAGCTGAAGCTGCTGGGTGGGTTGAGGTCTGTGCTCTCCACCGAGCTGCTCCAGATGCTGCAGGCTTGTGGCTGCCGTGTCCGCTGGGTTGACAAGCCGCTCGTCTACAAGGGATGAGCTTGAACTGGCCTGGCAAATCAAGGAGATAGGCATCCTTGAGATCAGAGGAACACGCTGGTCAGCAGCAGTGCCCAGCTGAGACTGTAGAAGACCATGTCGCTGAGACTGATGGTGTCTGTAACCTGTCCTTCAATGCAGTGTGCAAACTTTCAGAGTTCCCGCATTATGATGACTGTCCATTTTCAGAACTCGTCTCTGTAACTGGCATTTCTGGCACGAACTTTGTAAGATCTCCAGCATCTGAATTCAAAGTTTACCCCCCATTTTGGTCCATTTCTTGCCTGAATATTTGCAAACAGTCCCCAAAATTTTCTAATTAGATCCCTAAACTGGATCATATTTATTTTAACTGCATATAGCCTCTCATATTTACAACCAACACCCTGGTTGGAATCACAACTAATAATTAAAATATTGCCCCTGCTTATTTACAAACATCAGGGACAACCAAACAGCAAGCAAGAATCACATTTGTTCACTGAATTCTTTCTTCTAAAATGTAATCTTACAGTACTGCTAATTCATAGCCAAACATAACAGTAGTCGTTCCTTCAAGCCTCAGCAACAAACGCTGATGTTTCTGCTCTTCCTGCAATGACTGACGATACAATCTGGACTAATCTGGATTCTAGCCTGAAGTCATAAGTAAGTTCAAGTTATCTATACTATCAATACTGCCTATCAATCTTCTTCCTTTCTGTTTTTTGGGGGGGTTCATCAGTTAGTCCAACCGGTTGTCAGTGTCATCCTCATCCTCTGCAAGCTTGTCGATCAGCATCTCCATCGTCTCGATGTACCTCGGCATGTAATGGTCTCTGATCATGGTTCTCGCCAGCCTGATCTTGCCATACATGCTGCGAGGGGTCTCATAGATGGCAACTACCTCATGCTGGTGGCATTGCTCGCCGGTGCTCAGCCCTTCTGGTGCTGGCAGCTCAACCATGTGCATGATTCTGCCCGGAGGGTACAGCTGGTGAGGATCCTGGGAGACCATTCGCGATGATCGCAAGGCCTTCAGAAGCTGATCCATGTGTTCTTGGTCTGTTGCTTTCTCCTCTGGGTCAGTCTCCACTGAATCTGATTTCTGACGGTTGAGTTCTCCAGGAAAGCATGAGGCTGGTTCTCTTGCAATTGTTGGCTTTTCAGTGGTTTGCTCGGTTCCTCTGTATGTAGGCATCAATGCTGGAATGCCCTGAGTGGGGTTCACCAGAGCCTCCAGAAATTGCGTATTAACAGCGACAGATGACCAGCAGGACAGTGAAGAGTGCTTCTGCACAGCGGCACGCACATTTGCTGAAAGGTTCAACTCATCCTGGGATGGCATGAGGAATCAGTTCAGTGAATTACAAATAAAAACATCAAAGAATGTTTTTTTGGAGAGTAGCCACATCAGTAAGACAGTAATACAATTATTTTCTTCAAAGAACGTGGTGCTTTGGGTTTACCATAGGAGTGTTGTCAGATCCTGTGTTGGATACAAAGGGAATGTGGGATCGCATGAAATTCACAGAGCTATTTACAAAACCCAAGATTCTTGTTTGCTGAATTTGTTCTTGGAGGTCTGGAGCCCATGATGATGCCATAACCTGCAGAAGATTTTAAGACAATTCAAAGGCTATTAATTAATGAGAGAAAATGTGTTTCATAGTTCCAGACGTCACTACTACTGTGCGAAGGTTTGCTGCTGAAGCTTTGCCAAAAGATGGCACCATGTCGTTTTTGTTGACTACAGAGGTAACGAAGTCTTTGCCTGACTCAGCCAAGTCCCAGGTCATGCAAGCAGCTGGACAGGAGCACTTCAAAGTGTTAGAATACCATAGGAGCACATCTGATAACAGGTGTTTTATATGGCACATCTTGCAACCAGATACCAAGAAAAGGGGAATGTGACAGCTTTGTTGTGGAAACTTATGGTTGCTCCTACATAGTACTCTGTTGGGTATTAGCTAGTTGCTTGTTTTAGATTAGCTACTTTTATATTTCAATACTAAGTAATTATATCAGTGTAAAGTGTTAACAAGAATCCATGGCAGTGAACTTTGCTATGCTTAAGTTAGCATGCCATGATTTTTTATTTTTTACTTCTTTTGTTGATATTGATGTGTTTGATAGCCAAATCTTAGTTTCTACTTGAATTCTGTACCTGGTCCAAACGCAATACATGAGGATGATGATAACTTATTGTCCTCGCGTAGCATGTATGTTAATATCGCAGCAATACCAGCTCCCATTGAATGCCCAATGATCTAAAATTAGATTAAAATAGTGCAGTTCTGTCAGCCAGAAGCAAATTCGAAGCGTTACTTATTTACTTTAGCTTCAGATATGCAGTATTTTTTATTTGAATTTTCCCAATATTGATTGCTTAAGAGGACAAACAGACACATTATTACTCATATTAGGTTCACTGAGTTCCTTGTAAACTAAACAACAATACTAGGGGATTTTTTTTTTTGGTTAACCAAAATAAATCAATAATTGATATTAACATAATATCATAATAACATGTGTTGTTTGACCACATAAATCAAATCTCACGCGCATCTTTTATGGTGTACACTGTAACAGAATCAGAAAATCAGAAAAGAGTAAAAAATTACCTTAACTCTGTAGTCTGGGAATTGTTCGACTGCTTTCCTTAGGCATGGAATGGCCTGATCTGCAATCCAACGAGCGGCAGCAACCATTCCACAATGCGCATGTCCAGCCACTAAATTGGATCTACGTCCATCTTGCAACACTGAATGATGGAATGGAACTTCTGCAGCAGTTGCAGCAGTCAGACGATCCTTAGTGCTGGTCGCTCCCCGAATGAAAAGGAGGAAGGATTTGGTACTTTCATCGCGGACAACCCTGAATGCAGGCTTCATAAACTGAATAGAATCACAATGTTCTATTAAGGTATCTCCACTTGCAATATATGTATGCTATAGAACATCAGCTGGCTCAGAGTAATACAAACTTGTGACTTCGACTTCCTTATGAGAATATCACTCTGTCCATAACCACCAAACTCTTGAAACACTTCATATGGTTTCTTTGAGAAGAACATGCAGAGTCTGAGGTATCTGAGAAGTCCAATCAGCTCCTGCCTTACTCCAGGACCATCCAGGGGCACACAATTGCTGCCAGTGTACTCATGCTGCAGATTGCCCTGGAAATAAACACTAATGAGAGAATGCTTTTCAGTATGACGCATCAAAGAATGTTACCAAAGCAGATGGGCCAAATCATGAGTTTTCAGTAACAAGCCAAATGGATTAACACTGATTCTTTACGTCTCACCAGAGATATAACAAACTTTTTAGTTCCTTTCCAGAAAACTGCCAGTTGGACAATCAGGCAATAAAATTGCATTTTTCTGAAATTTAAAATTGGGAAGGCTTGTATTAGATTTGACAAGTTCATAACCTACAATAGGAGAAATTGAAGTGAGAAGCAAAGCTAGACAGGGTAATTTACCAGAAATCCTAATTATCCTGAATTCTTTAGAGCTGTCAATGCAATAAGTTAACTGACAGAACATATTCTGTTTGGCAACCTCGAATAACTGAAAAAAGCAGCTAGACGTTCATGCAAAAATTCCGAGCTACCATAACATGATTAGAAAAAGGAGAAATTGCAACATCGCAGACCAAGGTAGCATCTGTTACTCCATTCCATTGTTGGATCCTAAATCCAGAACCAGAAAGTACGCCAAAAAACCATTCTTTTTCTCCAGTTGCTCTTTTATTTTCTCGACAGAAACAAGAACAATCAAGCAAGTTTGACACACACACTCTAAGTTCAAATCTTTTTCTATTTCATCATGGTTAAACAGAGCCACATTTCTATCCGAGCAAGAACACACGCACCGCGCGCCGCCTTCCTACGACGATGACAGCACCTGGATGCGCATGTAGTGGTTGATCCCGAAGGCGATGTCCCCGAGCGGCCACTTGCCGAGCGTCTCGGCGTACGCGAACCCCGCCGTCCTCGACAGAACCGCCACCGCCTCCCTCCAGCTCGCCGGCGCCCGCTCCGGCCACCTCTCCGCCTCTCCCTCCTCCGCGCTCCTCCGCCGCCGCGTCTCGTCTCCGGACGCCGGGGAGAGGCGCCCCGACAGCGCGACGTACACTAGGGCCGCCATTCCCGCCGCCGACGCGGCCCGTTTCGCCCCCATTACTCTGCGATCGACGGTGGTGCCGGTGCGCGCTGCTGCGAGGCGGGAGCTGGTGGTAGAGCGGAGGCGTGGCTGGCGTGGGCCCGCGCCTAAAATTGGGAGGACGGGTGACACGGGTTTATGGACGGATGGACAGAATTACCCTAAGTTCTCAGAGTTGTTTTCTTCTTCTTTTTTTGTTTCTGATGATTTTGTTTAAAAAGTTCGATCACATTTGATTTAAAAAGTTTGATCATGCACATTCGATTATGTGATACTGTAATTTCGCGAGTTTCTGACGAAGGGCCATTTCTTTGGGTCACTAGGTCAGACCCATGCCAAAACATTGTAAACTAACCTATATCACAACACATAGAAACAGAAAATAGAATAAAAGTGAAATAGATAATCGACATGGACTCATAAACTTACATACATATCCACTCATCCTTATACATACACGTACGCAAACTTATCCTACTTCTAGGAGCATATTGGAAAAACATGACCGACAAAACTAAAAAATGATGAAATTACCTATCGATGGCATTTAGAAATTGTCAGTGGATACTTCCTCCGTTTCAAATTATAAGTCGGTGCATTCAAGAAAAAATTATAAGCTTTGTTTTGATCTTTTTATGTACATAGCTTTTGTTACATATTCAGATATATATTATGTCTACATACATAATGAAAGTTATGCATGTAGAAAAGCCTTGCAATTTAGTACGAATGGAATATATCATAAAACTGACGAAACGTCATATACATCACACCGCTGATCCATGCATCACCTACAACTGAAAAATAATTAGTACAAAATATAACACTCATATTCCGTTTGTTTTCTACAATT